TGCGGCAGTGGAGGAAAAAGAAATGATTGGGTGTGGTTTTTACACACACCGTTGTTCGTCCCATGGAGGTCATCACGGGTCCCATTTTAATAATCTGAACCGTTCAATGTGTGTAACTGATATGGAATTGTTACTTGATAGAGGGTTGCCTTGTTTGGGAATTATACAACCAGCTGCAGAGAGAGGCAGACAGCAATAGTTTTTGTTAGAGGGGAAAAAAAGGAAAGACAAAGCAAAACAATTATATATAGGGAAATTCTATTCGCACAACTCATAAATTCTCAGTACACACCATTTATGCCATTCCAATATAAACTTTTAAACAAAAGTCAAATGTTTAAACATTAACTTCCGAATAAAAATCATTTTCTCGGATATACATTTCATTGAACTGTTTATGTCGGAAATGCTTTTTGTTCAGAAGTTAATGTCTGAAATTTTGACTTTTGTTTAAAAGTTTATATCCAAACTGTGTAAATGATGTGTACTGGCATTTTTTTTTGTAGTGTGCAAATACAATTACCCATATATCAATGGTTCTTAGATATTATAAGATTGAGATAGAGATGGAGAGAGTTCTTTTTAGCAATTATGAAAGACAATAGGTACAATGTTGCCACAACATTGTCTGCTACAACGGTCCGACATGACCCCATAAACTGTCTTCTACATCGGTCCAACACGAGCCAGTGTCTTCTACATCGGTCTGCCATAACCATACAGTCTTCTACAACGGTCTGACACGACCATACAGTGTCTCCTATCCATTTTTTATTTTTCAGATTATTTTCTTGTTTTGTTAGTCTCTCCAAACTCAAGTTGGTTAGTTCCTATCCCCCTTGAGTTTGCGGGGGGCTGTTAAAATCACCTACCACCTCCACTACCACCCACTCCACCTACCACCTCCACTACCACCTACACCTACTACCATCTTCTCTTCTATATATAGGAGTTATATAGGAGTTGTAATATATCAATCAATCAATAACCATCAATAATACATCATTTTTAACATGGTATCAGAGCAAGGTTAAGCATTTAGTATTTTTTGTTTCACCGACGGGCGGCAACCTCGCCTTGGCCGCCCGCCGGACCTCAACCTAATCCGCTAAAAAGTTTTTCACATACCTTCACTCCGCTGCATCTCTTTCTCTCTCTCTCTTGGTTCTCGGAAATGGAGCAGAAAAATCAGTATGATATGTTTGGGGGTAGATCCTTAATGGGTCGGAATCTTCTTCAAGCCAAGAAAGCTTGCCCTGTAAACTTTGAGTTTTTGAACTACACCATCATCACCAGCCAATGCGAAGGACCGCAGTACGCGCCCAATATCTGTTGTCCAGCATTTAACGAATTTGCTTGCCCTTATGCGGATGCGCTAAATGACTTGTCTAATGATTGCGCCACAACCATGTTCAGTTACATCAACCTCTACGGGAAATACCCACCTGGCTTTGTTGCCAGTTTGTGCCGGGAAGGGAAGCACGGGCTTGCATGCTCTGCAACTGCACCTACACCAACGGCCGTTCCGTCTTCGGCAAACCCTCTGGTCCTCTAGCGGTATCTCTATCTCTCTCTATGCTGGGTCTCTCTCTTTGCAATACACTCACCATATATGACAGCCAACCTCCAAGAGTACCCGCATGTCGCTACAGCATTGCCACTGTTACCTATGCGCTCAATGTTCTCCGGACAAGAGGGCCTAGGCGAATGCACAGTGTCATGCCTTCTATTCCCGTTTCTTCTGTTCAGGAGGGGGGCTCTGCCCCACCATCGACACAGACCACACAACCCCACGCAACTTTTTTTTATTTTAATCTATCTATATCTGTATCTGTTTCTTATAATATCTTGCACAGCCTGTCCACTTTTGCACCAATTTCTATTTTTTTTTTTTATTCTTTTCCTCCATCTTTTGCCAAGCACACGACACCCACCTGTATCTCCACTCTTTTTTTTATTATTCTTCTTATTTTTTATCTCTTCCTCCTTTTTATTTTTTAAACAATGCCACGGTAGTGCCACCACTTTACACGCACTCTTTTTTTCTTTTTACTACTTTGTTTCTTTATTTATTTTTTATAAAAAAAAAAAAAAAAAAAAAAAAAAAAAAAAAAAAAAAAAAAAAAAAAAAAAAAAACCAAACAGGGGGGCCTTCTTCTCTCTCTCTAATAATCACCCACACACCACCCACGTTATTGCCCACATTTTTTTTTATTTTAATATATCTATATATTAAACTAATGCCTCATAAAACCATTAGTTTAGCTCAGTGTTTGGATGGTGGGGGACACAGCATGCTTTTTCAGAATAAAATAAAAAATAAAAAAAAAATAAAAAGCCGCACAACCCCTTTCTTTTCTTTTCTTTATTCTCCACTCACACACAATTATTTCTTTATTCTCCACTCACACACAATTATCATCACCTATTGCACCTCACCCGTTGCTCCACTTTCTTTCTTTTCTTTTATTTTATTTATTTCTTTATTTATTTTATTAAAAAAAAAAAAAAAAAAGCAGAAGAAGAAGACAAACTGCACACCAAACTCATTTCCTTTTATTCATGTCGGGGCTCCCCCGATCACCATTTTACACCAAAAAAAAACAAAAAAAAAAAAAAAAAAAAAAAAAAAAAAAAACACCAAAACAAAACAACACCAACACAAATCGGAACAGAACAGTGGGCTTTTTCTCTACTCTGCCGCCGGTCTCTTTTTCTTGCCTCCGTCCTGGGCGGTCCTTGACGGTGTTGCCTCCGTGCTTCCTAGACCACCCAGCACGTTGCCTCCTCCCTGCTCCTCCACTGCAGCATATGGCGGCCCTCCAAATCGGAACATCACGGTGGTATTTCGCTTCAGTTCCTTGTTTTCTGCCTTTAGCACACTTATCTCTGCTCGCGCATCCTTATACATGCGTTGGAGCAGAGCCAGCTGGGAGTTTAAATGCTGCACCTCATTTGTCCTACTCTACAGCCGGTTCGACAAATTTGTAACCGCCGTCATGGTTTCCACACATGACTTCAAGGTATACTAATTGGCCTCCACATCTGACTGCCCTGCCATTCTTTGCTCCACAGCCCGCATCGGAAAGTTCAACTGAGCAAACTCCGGGGCGCTTGGTTGAGTTTCCAGTGCCACCGCACCAGTTCTCTCTCTCGTTGACTCGTTGAGGTCGGGAAAGAGGGTGAGCAGCCCGCGGGAAGACGATGAAGCCATTTTATAGGCACCAGAGTGTTACATAGTATCTCTCTCAGAACTCTCTCTCAGAAAACAGAGTGTTGCAGAATCTCTCTCCAAAATCTCTCTCAGAATATCTCTCGCAGGTTTTTTGCCTCAGCCTCAGCCTCCGTCTTATAGCCGAGGCAGCCACGCGCATCGCGCGCCTCTTACCACCAGCCGACAACACGGGCGCGCAAGCCAAGGCGCCCACGTGCCTCGCCATCATGTCCGGCACGCCTTTTGATGAATGGGGCACGCCTTTTGACAAAATTGGGCACACCTTTTGAGGGTGCAACTTTTTCAACGGTCCGACATGACCCTATAAACTATCCCGACATTGATTCCGGTTAGCATCTCCAACGGTCCGACATGACCCTATAAACTGTCCCGACATTTGATTCCGGTTAGCATCTCCAACGGTCCGACAAGACCCCATAAACTGTCCCGACATTGATTCCGGTTAGCATACAGTGTCCTCTACAACGTTATGACACCACCATACAGTGTCCTCTACCACGTTATGACACCACCATACAGTGTCCTCTACACCGTTATGACACCACCATCCAGTGTCCTCTACACCGTTATGGCACACCCATCCAGTGTCCTCTACCACGTTATGGCACCACCTTTCAGTGTCTTCACCAACGGTCTGACACGACCATACAGTGTCTCCTATCTTTTTTTTTTTATTTTTATGTATTTTCTTGTTTTGTTCCTCTCTCCAAACTCAAGTTGGTTAGTTTCTATCCTCCTTGAGTTTGCGGGGGGCTGTTAGAATTTACCATAACCCACTCCACCTACCACCTCCACTACCACCCACTCCACCTACCACCTCCACTACCACCTACACCTACTACCATCTTCTCTTCTATATATAGGAGTTATATAGGAGTTGTAATATATCAATCAATCAATAACCATCAATAATACATCATTTTTAACAACGTTGGGAAAGAATTTGAAGGCAAAAAGGAATTTGAGAATTCGCAGTTATAAAATTCTCTGTTTGGATTTACAAATAAGTAAATAATAAAAAGAAAGAAAAGATGAGGATTGAAATATCCTCTAAGAATTTTAATGAGGGATTTTAAGGGTAGGGTAGTTGACCTCTTACTAATTGGAAATTCAATTTACTAATAATTTTCTTTCACTCTGGTCAGGGTATATCCAGATACCCATCTCCAGTATACCCGGCATACATTCTGTATAAAATGCAAAAAATGATTAAGAGTATCGATGATTACCATATAGCCATTCCTTGAAGTATACATGCAGTGCGCTTGATAATTCACCCTTCCGGCTGTCTTCAGGTTGCATTTCCTTAAAAATTTGCTTGATCTTCCCTAAGTTATTGTGCTGAGACAAAATAATTACGTTTAATAATAAAAAAAAATTCAATGTAATTATGACTGATTTAGAATTGTATAGAATCACTTCCAAAAGGTATAAAATGAAAACTCATTCTTTTTTTTTTTTTTTTTGGATAAGTAGGTAAATATGCAAATCCATTATTAGAAAACAGCTATGAAGCACGGACGTACCAGTATCAGACACGTGTCGGACACGGACACACGTCGGACACACGGTGGACACGTGTCCGACACGCATGGGAGAGTGTCCTATTTTTTTTTAAAATTTTTTTACATCCGGACGCATTTTGGACACGTTATAGACACGTTTGAGACACGCGCGGGGGGCAATTTCACAGTTTACTAAAATTTTTTGGGGTCGATTTGAAAATAACCAAAAACAGATCAAATTTGCCCTAATCTACTATTCGCCCTAATCTCTGTGAATCGACTTTCGAATAGAAGATAAACAGCAGAGAAAGGGTGAGAAAGAGAGAAAGAGAGAGGACCTGACTTCGTCGTACGTCTTCTCTCGTCGATCGTTGCTTCTCGTCGGTCGTCTGTCGTCGGTCGACTGTCATCGGTCTGCGTGTGATTCTTTGTGCGATCTTAGTCGATTTGCTGCTTCGTTAATGTACAATTCTTCTTCGATCTTCTTCGATCGCTCCCTCTCTCTTCAATAGCTCTCTTTCTCTGTCTCAGCCTCTTCTTTCTTTTATTTCTCTCTCTTCGATAGCTCTCTCTCTCTCTGTCTCAGCCTCTTCTTTCTTTTATTTCATTTTTTTTCCTTTTATTTTGATTTTGATTTTGATTTTGATTTTATTTTTTTCTTTTATTAATTTAATTTTTTCTTTTCTTTTTCTTTAATTCTGATTCTGATTTTGTTTTATTTTATTTTTTCTTTTCTTTTATTTTTTTTATATTCTGATTTTATTTTTTCTTTTCTATTATTTGAGTGTATAATTTTAATAATGTATGTTTATTAATTTTATTATAGGGACCAATTATTAATTCTGAAACAATGGCTACGGGTGGTAGTTCTAATGATATACCTGATGATGATTTTGATGAGAACAAACCATTGTGGAAGTATGTAACTAAATTAGCAAAACCTGGGGAAGGAGGAGGAAATTGCCAATTACAATGTAAATTTTGTAATAATACTTTCAAAGGTTCATATACAAGAGTAAGGGCACACTTGTTAAAACTCCCAGGAAAGGGAATTGGTGCTTGTAAGAAAGTGACAAGTCAAAAACTTTCACAACTACAAAATGAGAATGATGCTGCTGAGCTGAGAATTAAAAATGCTCTTCCCAAAAATGTACCATTCCCTCCTTCCACTGTATTAGTGGGTAATAGTTATGCTTATGAATCAAAGAAGAGGAGAACATGTGAGAGTGGGAGTGGGAGTGGGAGTGGGAGTGGGAGTGGGAGTGGGAGTGGAAGTGCTATTGAGAAAGCATTCAACTTGAAGGATAGAGAGCAATTGCATTTTGAAATTGCTAGGATGTTCTACTCGGGGGGGGTACCTTTTAATCTTGCAAGAAATCCTTACTATGTTAGCTCTTACACATTTGCTGCAAATCATAATATTCCTGGATATTTGCCTCCCGGTTATAATTTGTTACGAACCACATTACTTCAAAAAGAGAGGGCAAATATTGATAAATTGTTGCAACCAATTAGGGGCACATGGAAGGAAAAAGGGGTGAGCATTGTTAGTGATGGTTGGAGTGATTCTCAAAGGAGGCCTTTGATTAATTTTATGGCAGTGAGTGAAAGTGGGCCTATGTTCATTAAAGCAGTTGATTGTTCTGGAGAAACTAAAGACAAATATTTCATTGCAAATTTGATGAAATAAGTGATTAATGAGATTAGGGCAAGTAATGTGGTTCAAGTCATCATGGATAATGCTCCTAATTGTAAGGCAGCCGGACAACTCATTGAAGCTCAATTCCCTCATATTCTATGGACTCCTTGTGTGGT